CAAATAACGCAGCAGTGATTTTAGACCTTGTTCTCACCCTAATGTCTGCCGTGGGGCTCCCTACCGGCCCGTGGCTCGCTCAGTGTGGCGGCCGTGGCAGCAAGCAGGTCTTGGCTCAAGTGAGCACCCAACATGCGCCGGCACCCGGCGCCACGTGGCCAGCGCAGACGCTTCCCGCACGCTCCCCGTTCTGCCCCGCAACACCCGGGCCCAGCAGGGAGGCAGCCAGTGACGCGGAGCTGCTGGATTAGTGTAGTAGTGCGACAAGTTGGGATCTGCCTTTTGCTCCCTGCTCTGTTGAAACAGCTTCCTGTGTTGTTCTGGGCTCTTTAATCAGCTTTGGGTTGTGCATCTCCTCCTGGCTCGGGTCCGTGATGGGAGTGCTGGAGCTGCTGTTCGGCGTTTTGCCAGAGCCCAGGGCTAAAGCACATCCCCAAAGCACTAAGCACAGAGGAGCTGAATGGGGTTGCTGCAGTATGCCCTGGCCTCCAGTACCAAAACTGTGCTGCAAAAAAAAAAAAAAAAAAACCATGGGCTGTTTCATGCAAAGGCCTGGGCACACGTGTGAGAGTTTTGGGCAAAGGACAGGATGGGCTAAGTGTTGCTGACACCTTATCAGAAAGCACTGGCCCCAGGACGTGCCTCAAGGAAGCTCAGCACCCCTCTTGCCTCGCTCCTAGGGGGTGTCTGAGGAAAGGCATCCAAACCAGTGCCAGGCGGGGCAACATGGGGGCGAGGGGCCTCTTGCCACTGCCAGGGCCACCCCTTCACCACAGCAGGGAGGAGGGGTGGCTGCCCATCAGCTCCTGCCCCCAGGGTGCACGAGGAGGCAACGCGTTGCTGCCCCAGTGCTAAAGCACCTCATCAAGCGGAATCTTTGCTGGTGTTTTCTGTGACATGGGTGAGCGGGTTCCTCACCTCCTGCCAACCGGCATAACTGGGGTTAAAGGACAGTTGAGAAAAGCGGAGCTTCGCCCGCCATACCACCATCTCTCTGCTATAAGAGGCTCGAGGTGTGCACAGCAGCTTGCACATATCTTGTTTTTCTTGTAACCCTGTTAAGCAGAGTGAGGTGGTGCAAGAGAAGAGGCAGGAATGAAAGGGCTGAGGTTTGCCCCCGGGGAGCTTCGCAATCGCCCAGCAATTCGTTCCCCTCGCTGCTGAGCCAGGGTTTGCACCGCAGGCTTGTTGGGTCCTTTCGAGGCCTGTAGGAACAAGGCACCGCAGCTCCTCGTGCTAAGCAGCAGATCAAGAAAGCACTGAGGAGCTGGAAACCAACCTTTGCAAAGACAGGTAACGTATCAGGGGCCGCAGGGTCCCCTGAAGGCAGTGGGGAGGGCAGTGGTGTGAGGAGCCTTCCTGTGAGGCCCCAGCTTGGTCCATCCCTCCCTTGGCCTGCCCCAAGGAAGGGCGGTCGGCAGCGCCAGGCACGTGCTTTGGCTGCCCTGGCCCGGTTTCCCCGCTGCAGTGTGGGGAGGAACCGCTGCCAGCACCAGGGCATTGGAGGAATATTAATGTCTGTGCTCACTCTTGCAAGGTGGAGGGACCATCTACACGCCAGCGCGAGGCCTATCCCTTGGCCAAAGTGGGGCTTGTGGTGTCCGGGCTCAGACTGTCCCTTGGGAAGGAAAAGGGGCACCTGGGCCTGGCCAAGCCTGTTATGCAGAGGCTCAAGATACTCCTGCTCTTTTGTGCTCTGCTCCTTGGGCAGAAATAGCTGCCTGGGCTTGTGGTTGGAGATGATACGGAAGCTAGTGAGCCCGTCACGTGTAAGAGCCCATGTGCCACGGCTACAGAGCTGGCCTTGTGTGAGTGGGAACAAGCAGGGCTCACTTCCACCCGGCAGCCCTGTGTGCTGCCAGGGAGCGGTTAAGGAGCTGACAGGCATCCAAAGACATGGGATGTGCAGCAAAGCTCGGCTCTGTGGAGCCCAGGTTGTTTTGTACCACATACTGAACCCTGAAGGTGGGGGTAGTGGGTCTGTTTCTGTTTTTTTTTCCTCCCAAGTGTGCAGAGGGTTGTATGTGTTAGGGGTTCACTTGTTTGTTTAAGGCAGAGGGGTGAGTGGGCAGAGCGTGCTGGAAGACGGCTCACACCATCTTTGCTTCATTTAGGACACGACATGAAGTCGAGGGCTGTTAAGATGGTGGAAACTGATGTGAGGGACATGTTTCCTTTCAGGCTTGATGCAACTTAGCTTAACCTGCCAAGTAAGCTAGGAAAAATAACACAGATGAAATCAAGTATCTATTTATGGTAGGGTCTGGTAGACTTTTTAAGTACATCTTTTGTAAGAACTTTAAACCAGAAACAGGGCCTAATGCTGATTTTGGGGCATTCTGCCTTGTCTGCAGGTGGTTTCCAAAGAACTAAAGGGCTAAGAATTGAAAGTGGCACAGAAATGCTTGTAATCTTTAGGTCACCGGTCCAGCCGGGACTTCAGTCAGTCTAACGCGCGCGAACCCAGAGCAGCCCTTTCCAAGGCAGTTATTCCTAACTGCCCTGTTAGTGCTAATTGTGTTAGCACCTCTCCTGCCACCAGGGCAGGCTGCTCACAGGGCGGGGGGGTTAACCCACCGCACAAGCCCTTTGCTGCTGTTTTCCCAGGGCCAGCCTTCTACGTAATGTACAGATGGTGCTACACATTGTGAAAGCGTGCACGGAAAATAAAGACTCATGAGTGTAGCCTCATGCTTAATTAGAAGTCAATGTGCTGTTGTTACTAGGTACTGAAGGAATGCACTGGCACGGCTGTGCTTGATGTGTTTTAAAAGCACTTTGTAAGTGCACTTTCCCCTCGTCTTGCTGGCATGCACCAGCTTTATTAGGAGGTGCAAGACTGCTGCTACCCCGTCGTACAGCTCCTTTGAAGTTTGGGCAAATACCACCGCAGTAAAAGCATCTGAAAAATTCACCCTCGTTGCTGCTGTTTGTGTGGAGGACTTTGAAAGAGAGGTGCGTCGCAGGCTAGAGGGGCCCAGGACTTGAGGGGGCCCAGGACTTGAGGGAATGAGCTAGTACTTTGTGGTTAGGTTTGCTATAAAGATACTGATTAAGCGACGCTTAATCAAACAGATGACATTTTTATTGGTCTCACAACAGGTTGAAAGCAGCAGTAGGAAAATTATGATGATTTTATTTAATGAGAAGTTTCAATGTCATCTCCTTTAGGAAGCTCACCGACAGTCCATACTCAGGTATAGAGTATATTTCTGTGTAACCTCCACCTATTGGCACAGCATTATCTTCTCCTCAACATAGCTGAACCTGTGCAGCAGTTTGCACTAGGTTCCTATATAAAGTGCAAAGGCTGCTGGTGCAAGAAACCTGGTGTCAGGAATAGCGAGGGGCCTTGCTTAGATCCCCAAAGAGGACCGATTCCATCCCAGGAGCATAGCTCTTATGTAGTCCATGGACGAAGTAAAGGAAGCAGAGAACAGGGAAAGGGGATGTCACGTTTCTGCCATGTTTTAAAAGGGACATCTTTGTTACAACACACTGCTTTAAGATACATATGCAGCAGTGGCTCTCTTAGGCAGGCTCCCTGGAAGCATCGGCCTTAAATTTATTTATTGCCTTTAGCCACTACTGATACCATCTTCAGTGGGAGGATGGTAGTTTTTTAAGCACAGGCTTTTAGGGGGCTAGATTCCCATGGGAGCACTTTGGCTCCTAAACCGGATACTGAGGTAAGCCCTGGCATTCATATCACTGACATCAGGAATGTGTAAAAAAAAAAAAAAAGTCTAGACAGCAGAAGCAGCTTTGCTGCCAGGGAAAGGTGACAGCAAAGCAAGACACACGTGTACTTGCCCCATGGCACATGGGGTATCTAAAAGCTAAGGAGACTTTCAAAATTAAGATTCTAGCCCTAGTCCAGCAGTTCTGGTTTTAACATCATTAAATACATCATAGTCATCAAAAACTGAAAATCATCAGTAAGCAGCAACACACAACCCAGGCAGATATAGAACATAATCTTTTATTGATAACGGATCACATTTGAACTTTGTAAAGAACAAAATTAAAAGGTGTATTAAAACATACCCACTCTAAGCAATCTATTTTCTTTAGTAGAAAAAAAAAAGCATTCAATCGATAGAAATACTATATACACAGTATATCAATCTAGTCATCGCAGAGTTTATTCCCTTTGGACACGTACTATGGCATGGCTGGTTTAGTTTTCTAACACACCTTTCCAAATATTGTTCTGCAAATAGCTATCATGGTGTTAGAATATACCATCCTCCTAAAATCCAGTATGAACTTTTTTTTTTTCTTGTTCTGTTTCATATGACAAACCACTAAGCACCTAATTCAACTTACTGGTCTTAAGAGTACAAACAAGATGGTACTGTATGTGAATGCATCAGTGCTGAGCTTGTGCCAAGCTATTGTTGGAATCTCTTCCTGGTGCAGCTACCGAAGGCACTTGATGGTGACAGTTCCTCTCAACCATCCTGAGGTTCGTAAGCCGCATTTCCCCATTACACAGAGCGCCCTCTGACACTGAAAGTCAGCCAGCCTGTGGGTTAAGCATATCTTAGACAGCCCTTTCCTCATCTCTTGCATTCATTACCAGCAGATTTGTGTTCTGTTCATCCTCCCATAGAGGCTTTAAGCCTAAATTATAAATCACTATAATACACCAGAAATTCACTCCATTCTCTTTCTGAAGAAAGGGAGGCAGAACACTCACTAGCATGACATGACCAAAACAAACAAAACAAAACCCAAAACAGTTGTCCTCTCGCATCATCCTTAGGAAAGGAGCCTCATTCTACAGATACGCAGACAGGGCAGATGCTCAGAAGGATCAGTTCAGACCGCAGTGTGGCAGACTCCAGCTCTTGGCCTTACATTTAGCCTTAGTCCATACGCGCCCTCACTCACACACCAGTGGCTTTGGGCTGGCTGCACCTCAGTCCATTTGCTGAGCCTGCAGAGGAGTGGGTCATTGCACAGCTGGAGAAGGTCCCCACGAGCCAGGCTCCAGCGGCTTTCCTGCAGCAGGCAGGAAGGCAGCAGCTTCTGAACATTTTGCTTAAGGCTCACTTAACAACACAGTAACTGAGCTCTTATTGGTCTGCTGAGCGAGCCGTAGCGGGGAGTGAAATGTGGGTCTTTGCAGCGCCCCGTGCTTCAGAAGAGCCTCAACGGCTTTTGTGTGACCTCCCCTGACAGCCAGGTGAAGGGCTGTAAACCCTTCCTCGTCAGAAACATCGATGTTTCCCAAACTGACAAGTTCCTCTACGACTTCAGAGTGCCCGTTTTCTGCAGCAAGATGCAGCGCTGTCCTGTTGGAGGGGCCTCTGGCTAGGACGTCGGCACCCCCCTCCACCAGCAGCTTGGTTGTGGCTAAGTGGCCGCTGCGAGACGCCAGATGCAGAGCAGTGCAGCCCTCGGCCGTGGCTGCCCCGATGCCTGCGCCGTGCTTGAGCAGCAGCCGCGCCGTGCTCGTGTGGCCGGTCTCTGCAGCGATGTGCAGGGCCGTCTGCGCGAGCGCGTTGGGCACGTTCACGTCGCACTCCAGCTCTATGAGAAGGCGGGCGACGCGGTAGTGCCCTCGCTGAGCAGCCAGGTGCAGGGAGGTCCTCCCATCCACGGTCTGCACGTTCACGTTTGCACCCGGCTGCTTGGCCAGAAGCTTCACGATGGGCAGGTGGCCTTGCCAGGCGGCATAGTGCAGTGGCACCCAGTCATCCTTGCCTTTGATATCCAAATTAACGCCTCGTCTGAGCAGGATCCGCACGATATTCTCTTGGCCATACTGACAAGCTATGTGGATTGGGGCTCTGCCTTCAAAATCTACCTCATTTAAGGATGCATTCTTATCAAGCAGCATTTTGGTGCTGAATTCATCCCCATTCTGGGCAGCAAAGTGAAGAGCAGTCCACTGATCCTCATCCTTGGCATTAACATTAATTTTCCTCGCCATAATGAGCTCCACAATGCTTTTAACTTTCTTCTCAATGGCTATGTGAAGAGGAGTGGATCCTTTGCTGTTGGTGAGGTTAGGGTTAGCATTGTACAGCAAGAGCCACTTGACACATTCTTCTTGACCAGCTTCAACAGCCAAGTGCAAAAGACTGGAGTTCCCATCTAAAACGATATCAACATCTTGAGGCTGGAGGATCTTCATCAGCTTGCTGGTGTCTCCAGATAAAATGGCCTCTGTTAGCTTCCTCTTCTGTATGTCTGTAGTTCCAATATCTAGATGGAAAAATACACCATCACAATTTTACTGCTGCAGAACCTTATTTATTTGCCCCCAGACAGCACAGCTGCTGGCTTTTGATGTCTGTTCTTTGCAGTACTGAACTGCAAAAGGGGAAGGGGATGTTGGGGTGACTTACTGCAAGCATTCATGAGAGCTGCTGATAAAGTAGCTTGAGTCTTTTCAAAATAGATGCTCAAACCTGAGCTCAGTTTAACTGAGAGAAAGCTACAAGCTTAGCTGACCCGATCTGGTGTTTTCTATAGTCCTGCTGCAAGCAAAAAGCTGAACTAGATCATCTTCTATCCACCAACCTTTTTATGACTGATTCTGTAATTGCTTTTTATGGGAATTCAGGTCATTTGTTTTTAGAAATAAATCAGATTTATTATTTCTTACTAGCTCAGGTTTGGGAAACACCTCATTCATTTTCTTTGAATAACCACCTCTGGTAAACAAATCTGTAGTGCTGACAGCATGAGAAAGCAAGGCTAATGGAGATTTCCAGAACTGCTATTTTTAATATGACTGCTCTGAAGCCCATGGACCAGAACACAACACAAAAAAACAGGAGTGCAGGGAAGGAAAACAACACAACACACACACTTACCATTCCCAGATGTCTCCCTTTCAAAGGAAAGGGAAAGGGAGCCTCTAGATGAAAAAGCTGAATCTACAGATGAAACTCCTGAAAGACGCTTATTTTCACTGGACGCAAGTTTGGACTCAGAAGAACTGCGACTGAGATCCTCAGGGCCTTCCATAGTCTGAGAAATCCCTGAATCCAGCTGGGACAACAATTCCGAAAGACTGTAATCCTTAACAGATGCTGCAGCAGGCTCCTGTTTTGGCTGGGATAGTGCAGCCATTCCCTTCGAGAGAAGCACATAAGCATTTTAGAAAGCTCAGTAAGAAAAACAGAGCATAAGGCAGTACAAGAGGAAGCCTAAGTTCATTAATTTGCAGGTAACCTTTAAGCATTGTCCTTATTAAATGAGGCATAGGAACAAGGTCACTGAAAATATTCAGATGCTGGAGAACAGCTTTCATCGGTTCTCCACGCAGCAGCTAAAGCCACAAGGCTCTTTTGTCTAGGGCAATTTTCAAGATCAGTCACACCCAGGTAGTTCCAGCCTTCCCTTTCTAATGTCCTCTTCTCCCTTAACAGTGAGAGGAGCCACTTGAGCTCCGTCCTGCCCAGTGGCTTTCCTGACCCCATCTATGACTTTTGCATTCCAGTCCTTCACCAAGCCCTATTGCTACCAGGCAAGTAGGTGCCGAAAAGCATCAAAGAGAAGGTTGCTTGGGAAGTTACAGGTCACAGAAGGCCCTGTGTCTTCTCCAAAGCTAGCTGGCTTGAAGGCAGAAAGAGAAAATACCTCAGACTGCTGCTCTGGGGAGCTCCTGGTGCCCAGGTCCTGAGATAGCACTTCCTTGGTTTCATCTTCTGGTTTTTCACAGAGGGCCTCCGTTTCTGAAGTGATTTCTTTGAAGAAAGTATGACAAGTTTTTATTTTTAATAGTAGACTTCTGAGGTACTCTGCTGCCTTTCTCTATCATTAGAGCTTAACAGCTTTGAGTTACTGTGGGTGAAAGTTCTCACCATCCCATCTAGCACCACATCACTAGGTACAAGTATGTAACTGAAAACAGAGTGCAGACGACTAACTGAGCAGCTCATTTTCATGCTCACACCAGTCTCACATGTAGCATCAATTACATATTGGCTACACTAAAAGGCTGTGATATTGGAACCATTCTGCTGCTGGCTGTTTGGCAGACTTGCCCACCTATTTTAGAAAGATGGGATCCCTCAGTCTTCACACTTGGGGCAGAAAGAGAGAGGTGGGAGGAAAGAGACTAAGCTCTCCAGGTAATTCTAAAACTACGATACTGGGAGATAATATTTACTACATTCTCCTGCATTTGCAGAAGGATGCAATTTTGGATCTGTAGCACAAGTGCTAAGGGTCAGCTGAAACCTTTGACTATGGATGCCTATGCTTTTTAATGCCAGAAAAACAAAAGCAAGGATTGTTTTAAGAAAATTCACTTTCTTGGCAAAAAAACACCACATTTCAGGAGCCAGGGCCTTTAATGCTTTGGTAAGATTAGAAAACACCCCAAATCCAGGCTTGGCATATGCCCTGACACACAGCCAGAAACAAACCTAAACCATCTCCCCCGGGGTATTGCCTAAACAGATCAACTGGTTGAACACAGGTCTAACCCCTGAAGTGTTTACATAACACTGTCATGGTCAGACTTGTCCCCAGATAATCCCTTCCTCTGCAGAGGAATGAGTGGCCCGGATCACTGTCTGCACCACACAACGCGCTGTATTTACTCTGTCACCAAGGTTCACAGCACTCACCCCAAGGATTGACAGAGTCCTGAGCAATAATGTGACTAACAGAAGAAATGGGCAGGCAGGTTAGCAGGAAATCTTACCTTGAAATGTTGGCCGCTCACCAGGATCATCTTGCCAACATTTTTGCATCAGTTTGATCAAGTTATTACATGAATGAGGCCTGGATTTGGAAACAGCAGGTAGCTCTGGGCGGTGGCCTTTAACTACTTTTACCATAATATGCAGAATGTTGTTTTCCTCTGTAAAGTAAAAGCTCACAGTGAAGAACTCCCAGTAGAAGATAAAACTTCTGTCTTTTCTAAGAAAATAACAGCGTAGTATATTGAAACTGAGTTTTCCTCTGATTTCCATATTCAGAATACTTTCTTCCATCAGTGAGGGGAAGTGAGAAATTAAATCTTCCTCTCCCACAATTTTCAGCAATTCAGTAACTTCCAGTTCTTTCCAGATTTACTTCCAGTATATCATTTTTTTTTTAATCGCTTTCAGTGATTGACTGTGTTCCTTCTACTCACAGAAGAGGTTGGGTCAAAGGAGAGAGGGGAAAACAAAACATAAAATAGTTCTCTGCTAAATTCTGTCTAGATTTTCATTTTTGACATAATAAAATTGGACTACAGATTTTAAGTTTACCAGGTACCTAATCTTTTCATAAAGGTAAAGAAAGAAAGGAAGAGCAAACAGTGCAGTACTCTCCACTCTGAAGTCGAGCATTGAGCTAAATGGAGAAAAACTAGTAAGTAGACTGTAACCTGCTCGAACATGTTTGCTATACGTAGATTAGTCATACACGTAAGAAAATAGTCATAAAGAGTAACTAACTGCTTCTAGATTGGTGCATTTACTGTGGGGCAGAACAAGGCTTTTCTCATAGACTAGACAGTCTGCAAGTAGGCTATGGAGCCTCTCTGTAGAGCGGCGGTGTCTGAAGGCAGCACAGCTGCCTGCCAGGTGCCTTTGCTCTGCTCCTTGCAGGCCCCAAACACCCAGGAGAAGCCTGAGCAGGCCATGCACTAATGCGGATCTGGGCAGCAAACTCCAGCAAAAGGAGAAAGAGGTGCAGGCTGGAACATGCTGTGACCGTGCGGATTCTGGTGTTCCCCCTGGAGGACAGGGGAGGACTTAATTTGACTTGAAATTTGATCACATGCAAGGGTCCACCGTACAAGACACTGGAAATCTGGAAGAAGTGCACCAGACCTCGGTTTATAATCTCAGGCTGGTAAGGGGGGAGGCGTGCTTACCAAAGGGAGAAAGGAATAAAGTTCTGACACAACCCACCTAAGTGGAGCTTACCTGCAAAAGGCTTTTTCTGTGTAAGAACTCCCCAAATCACAATGGAAAAGCTACAAAAAAAAAAAAATTCTCAAAGAAATGTAAGTTATTTTCATTAGTTGTCTGTCCTTGTCTTTCATTTCTTCATCTAATTCAACTGACAAACAACAAGATGTACCCAAGAAGACTTGAGACCCTATCTTTTTCAGGGAGGAACCAGAGGCTGTGAACATGAGGACTAACTGCAGACTGCTGGCTTCTTGGTTACATTTACTGACTGCTTTATACCAGCACTAACAAAACCAGAGTGCAGCAGAGAACTATTGCAGATACTGTAATTTTGCACTGTAGGATGATCTTAAAAAACATACATTCCATTTAGAACATCACACATCTTGGAATTTACAGCTATTATTTCCTCTTCCTAATAACTTCATAATGGAAAGGGAAGCAGAGACCCAGTGATGAAATCCACTAAAGATTGCTAAGCATTTTTGTTAGAGACTCAACTTTCCAAGTAGGTCAAAATGTACCTTTTGATGGGAAAATTAGAGGTGGGTAGAGTGCTTCCCATGCCAGTTCCTAGTAAATAAATATAAGCTGAAATTACTTACGCCAAAAACCCCAGAATTAGCTGCAGTTTGTTAAAAGACCTCTACCCTGCAAAGACTTTACACTAAGCAAAACAAACACAAGCCTTTGCAAGATCGAGTTCAAGCAGGATTTGGGATCTAGTGCTCAATTAAGTTTTATAATAATAAAGTATTATTTAAAGTTTTAGGTTTTTCTGCAGTTAACTGACCTGTACACATCATGTTTGGTATCAAAACACCTGTTTTTTTCTTTAATGCGCTCTGGTGGAAGGTACGCAATCGTGCCACACAAGCCATCCATGCTAAGGTCATGGGAATGGGACAAGCCATTGCACTTTGCAAGTCCAAAGTCAGAAATCTGCAAAACAAAGAGGATAGAAAAGTGCATGTTACCATTAGACTTCAGGGGAGTTAACAAAAACTTTTGTGGGATAATGACTGACAGATGAAACAGGAAAATCCAATGAAATACTGTGAAGTGCCACTCAGAAACACCGAGATAAGAAAAACCATGGCAGACTATTCTTCATAGTTCCTCTCCACAGGTACGTTAAAAGATACACACACAAACAGTTCTTGCAAGCAGCAACTTGTCAGCCCATTATATGGCAAACAATAAACAGCTGGAGAATTTACTGTAATTTAAGACTAGTCAAATTTAGCTAGTGCAAACTGTAAGTTCATGAAATTATTGCCCCCCTTCTTGTTTCCCTGTGAAGCATCACACTGTGTGCAATGTTTTATCAGAGCTCTGAGCACCTGCTTCCAGGCTGCAGGGAGGGCAAGGGAGCCGCTCTTTTAGGCATCACTGTTCCACTGGCTGTGCCAGCAAGGATGAAGCCCAACACCAGAGGCACAAAGTGGGAGAAGGGAAAGGAAAAAAGGCAGGGAATTCTTTCTGGCAACTCGCAGACAGAGCAAGTCGGTGCAGTGACGCAGAGAATGCAGCTGAAACGAACAAAACAAGTGACAGCAAGTTTATAAAAAGGAAAACACACCTCCACTTTAATTTGAAGTGTCAAACAAATATGCATTCATTTGCTCTCAGAGGCATGCCACTCATCGAGCAAGCAGATAGGCAAGGAATTTCCTTTGTGTTACTTATTTCCCACTGGTCAAAAATGTCTTGAAAATTCCACGTTGGCATAACAGGCAAGTCAAGCTCTTTTGGGCCACTCAGTCCACCAATGTTTTTTTCTAGCCTACCTGCTAGATAAACCGACAAGATTTCCCCCAGCCCTCCAAACAGATTTAAATGTTCCTTATATCTAATAACTGCAGAAGGTTTCCAACGACTTGCTCTGCTATCACCCTTTTGATCTCCACAGCTTCTCCTTGGAGAGAGTTACCCCCAAAACAACACGGCATAATTAGAAAATAAAGCTGTTGTTTTTTGAAGAGGCTCCGACTTGACGCTTTCAGAAGTTTCTCTCCACAAATACCACAGAACTAGTCACAACTGGGCGCGCCCGCCGCCGCCACGGCAGAGGGAGGAGATGGCCGCCACCTCCGCGCCCCGCGTGCCTCAGGCACCACACATCTCCCCTCCCCTGGCTGCACGGGGACGAAGCCCACGTGGCGCCGGCAGTAATGGCCCCCCGGAGCTGGGAGGAGGCGAGCGTGGGGCCTGCTGGAGTCCTGCAGCCCAGCCCACAGGTCCATCCATCCCGCTGCTGCCTACATCTTCTGTCCGTAGGGTGACGTGGGGAGGACTCGAGGAAAGCCAAGCAAGGCAGCCCAGGAGCCCTTCCTCTCCCAGTGCATTTGCAGGGTAGTTTCTCCAGCCTCTGGAGTTACACTCTTGGAGGGGGGTTGCTAATGACTTCAGGGAGCCGAATACTGGAATCCAGGGACGTTTTGAGCAGGCAGCAGACCCACGTTTTTGAGCCAACCGCCCTGCTAGGGCCGAACCTACCGCCCCCAGGCAGCGCTGCGGCAGCCTGGGGCACTCGGTGCTCGAGGAGAACAAAAGCGCAACCCCGACATTGCACAGGCCCTTCGTGTCAGCTTAACAAACCATCCAACCGCTTCAAGTCTGAGCAGATCCGACTTGGCAGAGCACAACTAGCCTTTGATTAACACAAAGTAAGAGAATTATACACGTCTGAAGAAACCCATATGGCATGCGGGCGTGATTAAAGCAATACACCTTCCTCCTTGACTAAACACCACCAGCTTTTTTACTATGCAAGTTCAGTAAAAAAGCTGAAATACAGAGAGCACATTCAGCGACACTCCTGCGTTGGGAAAACAGCCACCAGCACTCAGTGAATCTCAGTTCAGGGCGCACGAGGCTCAACACGAGGCTAGATAGGAAAGATCTCAGCGTGAACCTCAGAGCTAAGGAGCCAAGATCCAAGGTACCCTCTCCCACAGGGCAGGCAAGATCTGCAGCGCTGTGAACCCGCTCCTGCCCTTGGTGAAGGGTTAGGTTTTATAGAGATTAGAAGGAAACTCATCTGCAGAGATGCTCTTCGGTCATAGCAAATCCTGCAGAAAGCTCTGGGAATTGAAGCCGTGCATTGTTCAGACTGTAACGAGAGTAAGGTTCTCAAGACAGCGTTTGTGGGTTTCACTAGGCCCTCTAGGGTAAATTTTCCACGCTACGCAGGTATTAGTCATGCCATTCCTTTTAACATCAGTGGGAATTGTGCAGTGGGTGGAAACGCAGCCATTTAACTGATCTGTTTTGCCTTTAAATTGCTTGTCGTGTACCTAGTTCTGCGGGGTACACGAGGCTAGCCAAGGCAGTAAACACAGAGCGCCCGTACGTGGGTAGCGCCCTCTCTTCTTCCCTGATACCCCAATAGCTGCAAGGTGACGGGGCTCTCCCCTGCACCACCACCAGGCAAGAGCCGGCCCTTACTCCTTACTGCGGTTGGTGCAGACGGATCCCATGGAGCTTCCAAAGCATTCCCAGCATCAGCACAGGGCAGGGGAGGCACAGGGGCAACACACCGCCTCGTGCAAAACACACGGCCAGGAGGCAGGGAGCGGGGAAGAAGCATTGGCCAGGGCCCACACAGAGAGCAGGGGCCCTTCATGTCTGCACAGCACGCACAGGCTCTGCCTTTCAAAGGCCTGAACGAGGAGAAACGCGTGAGTAGCAGCTGCTGAAGAGACCTATCTATACCTGTTTTCCTGCTCACATCACGGCACCGCTTTTGTCCAGAGCCCCAAAATTCTTTCTCTTTTGTTTTTGTTTGTTTGTTTTGTTTTTGTTTTGCAAAGCTCCAGATGTTTGTGCTTGTCAAGTTATTTTTTGGAGCTTCTGTAGAGACCACGATTCTTTTACTTCTCCGTACTTCATATGTTCAAGTAACTACAGCGAGTAGTAAATCCAGCTATTTCCAAACAGGAAGGGATCTAGCTCCCGGAAACAAAAATCCTGCTTCGACAGTACTTTCACTGATGGCTCCTGATAGGCTATTCCAAAGCGTGTATTTAGCTTGTAAACTTGCATGTTATTTTTCTGCAGATAAGGCTCAAAAGTCCACTGCACTGGACTCGGGATCGGGTTCACCAAAAGGTTTGCTTCATACAACAGGTAATAACACGGTCAGATTAATTTTTAATCTCTGCAGGAGGGCATATCCGGTGCTTGCCTCCGTCCAAAGTCTCTGCACATGTAGATACTGAGAACGCCACCATGTTTATCTGTGTCCTTTCTTCTGGAAATGCCAAAGGCTTCCACAGGCTACTGATTTGAGGTACTAGAAATTAGGAGGGGAAATAATATCCTTGATTTCAAGTGAAGACGCAGCTAGCCCCTGCACTTCCAACACTTACCTTTGCTTCAGTTAGTTAGAGAAACAACTGTTTTCAGAAACAACCTGTGTTTTCATCCTTTTCTAACTTATTCCAACACTTCTAATCATCAAAAACCTGTTTCAGGACCTACTGTGATGTTTATAATGTGCTTTGCAGAAGGGACAGATAACAAGGCTGTTTTAATCTAGCGCAGATCTGCACTACCACTACAGGGACAGTCTATTCCTCTCCTCTGCGCCACCGCTAGAGAGTCGATCAAGGCAAACACCAGCGTTGTGGGCTGTGATTAAGGAGTTGTGTAACAACAGCCCCACATGGAACCTGCGAACGGGAGGGCTGGGGAATGGGGAGAGGGACACGCAGAACAACAAAGCCCAGTTCTCATTTCTAATGACAGGGGAGCATTCGCAGCCGATGAAAATGTGGCTGTTATCTACAATAGCTACTCCAGAAAAAGAAACTTACCTTCTCCTTGCCAGCCTGCCCTCTGGTATTACTGTGACCTACAGCATATTAAAAAGTTTTCTGAGAAACGTGGGTTTTCAGGCAAACTACTCATTATCTTCCTCCTCTTCTGGAATGTTAGCAGTTCTTTCTTTGGCAAAACTAAATAAAGGTGCCCCTCACAGAGGCAACCTATCCATGCTTTAGTATGACCCCCAGCACAGCATGACACAACACAGCATTAAACTTCATACTGATTTAAGCTGGAAGGGCAGGGTAAAAAGCAACCATGATGAGCTGAAAGCAGTGCAGAATTGAGACCTGCTCACCCTGAATCAGGACCTATAGAGCAAAATCTGGGTGATGAAAAATACACACTTGCAAATCCTACCAATTATATGGCAAGACGAAGAGCCACAAATACCAGTCAGGATAATAGCAGAAACAAGAACTCATAAAAGAACCCTTTTCCCTAAAGGTATTAAGTTGCAGGTTGACTTCATTTTAAAACCCTGAACAAAAACACGAGATACTGAAGACGTGAAACCTGCTATGCAGTAACACAGAGAGTATGTGGGCACAGTAGCTGGCAGCAAGCTAGGACAGAGAGAGATTGCTGCAAATGGGGCTGTGTTCACCCACTGAGGGCCCTGGAGACAGATCCCCATTGGAGCAGGGAATTAGCAAGCTCAGAGTCTGCGCGGGCAGTGCTGGAAGGCAGCGTTGCTTCCCAGCACTGGCTCCCTACCTGCGATTGCCAGGGCACAGGGAGCTCAAGGGAGAGATCCATAGCTTGGATGGAGCATGGGAGCGCTCACTCAACATGGTCCAGAGAGCAAAAGCTACGTATGAAATGAGCCAGAAGCACTGCAGCTCTCAAATGCTACCAAGAAGGGCAGGGAGGACAAATACTATTTTCATCAGAAGGGGCCTGATCTCTCCCAGCAAAGCCAAAGTAAACCACATGGCTTCAGACCACTGAGAGGGACCAGAACATGGAGAGCAGAGAGTTCCCAGCTAAGGCTCCATTCAGCACTGAGGCCCACCACCCCAGAGGAGCAGGCACGTATGCATACATCCCACAAAAGCAACAAAGCACCATCTATATACACACACAGAGCTATATATAACCTATATATAAAGCTATATATAGGTTAATTTACCTATATATAACATATATATATATAAGCTAAGTGTATAACTTCTATTTAGTAAAAGCAGCCAAGGAATCCCCAACATGCCTTTGGGCAAAAAAGTTAATGCACAGCTATCTCTGTCCCTGCTCTAGCTAACCCCACACTCTTAATTATCCTCCCAAAAGCAAAATCCAGCACAAACTCTTATGTAATACCCAGGAGACAACTTTATGATAGAGGCACCCACTTGATGATAAGCTTTGTACACCACCACTGCGTTAGTCATCATCCTCACTTGGGGTTTTAAAGCAAGTGTTGTGCTCGTAAAAGGAGGAGGGCGTTGCTTCCATTTAACAGGGCTCTAATGCACTCCCCTGGAAGGCTGCTTCCTGGCTTAAAGGCAAACAGTTTGCAAAAAAAAAAAATCCTCCCCACCTCCGAACTCCTCTTTCACAGTCTGCAGCATCTCTTCACTCCCTCTAGGATTCTCTTAGGGACGGGTCACCTACTAAATTAACGCTAACATTTTAAAAGTCAAAACACTTCAATCACCGGCTTCATTAGCCTTGCAGCAAGAAAATGCACATTAAGTCAAGCTGCAGGGTCTGAAAATTAATTACAAGTTTCAAACATACAAAAAGAAGGTTTGGGGCCACATTTTTAAAGTGGAGGCTTCTCACAGAACATACATCTCTTAGTTTGCATGGATTCACATGTCTGTGTCGCTGCTTGAAGGGGTTTCCAAGGTGCCTGCAGACTTGGAAGAATGCTGGCTGAAAAAATCGTTTGGATTAGACCATTCTCCTCTGAACTCAATGGAAAAAGTCTGAAGATCATCATGTGTTTCATATACAGAGCAATAACTATATTCGATGTCAACAATGACTTCACCAGCAAATTATTCTTACATTTCATACTTTGTCCCCATTGTGGATATCACCTCAAGATATCCACAACCATATCACCTCACCATCCGGATATAGGCTGCACAGTAGTCAAAATATCAGGCAGCATTTCTGTGTGCTGAAAAGGTGGAAAATAATGCAGCCTTATCTTGGCTTGTGATGAGTCAAAAAATAGGAATTTAAGGAGTTAGGCAAGCAAGCATGAACTTCCAGTAAATAAATATTTACCAATGGCCTGTAAGCATCGACGTATCAGAATACACTTTTAACAGCTCAGACCTTGTTGATGTTCTGGTAATAGTACCATCAACTGCCAATAGTTACCTCATATCTCTGAAAGAAAATCATCCTAGACATAAACACCAAAAAGGCCTGGTGAATAAGCTGAGACTTCATGTCATGCCTGACTTCTTTCTAACATGCTCCAGCCCTGTTATAACACCAGTAGGGCCATTTTCCTATACAGAAAACTTTATTTTTAGAACAGTGCAGCAAGATCATTTGGCCAGTTTGAGGGGGACAGGGAAACAGAGAGCAAACATATGATGACACTGATAAAAACCTGCAAGATGACTACCTGCACTGAGTTACAGCCGCTGGCAGCGTGATTAATTCTGCAGTTCCAAGGTTAAGAGTGTGGCCACCAAATTGGAAACACTTGGCGTGAAAAGGTAGGATTTCTGCCCCTGTCTTCTCCAATAGGAAGGATCAGAAAACAAGCACTGTCTCATTAGACCTGGTGCCAAAAGAGATTCTCACAAGAAAAGGACATCAAATTTGCTACCTTGCTCTGGAAATTGATAATGATAGTTTGATGCTGACAGTCGTAAACATTTCCTTGATTGCTCTCTGGTAGGCATAAGCAGTCAGGACAGAAATACTTTTTCATTGTGTATGCTCTCAGCAAATGAAAGGACATAACAATTTGCTTCTGGCAAGGCTCTGCCTCCCTGGACTCCAGCTGTAAACTAGGTTTTGGATTTGCATTTAATACAGGGCACAAAGCAGGAAGGTACAAACAAGGTTGCTAGTGTGAGCTGCACAAGTGGCAGAGATGGTTTAGAGGTTCAAAACAATTTTCTCTCTCTGCTGTCACCTGTTTTATGACACTGCGGCAGGGAAATTTAGAACAGAACCTATGAGGCCTGCTGCACTACCACACTCCTGAAATTTCAGGAGAGTTCTCATGAGCTTCCCACTCCACTTTTACTTATGTAATTGGAAAAGCGTTGAGGTTGTGGGGGTTTGGGCAGGGGGAAGGATTTTTCCAACTCGAAAGGAATGCTCCTGGTTTCTCCCAGGCCTGGGAGCTCGGCAGGAGCCGCACAAGAAAACAAGGTACCAGAAACATGTGTTTGGCACAGGATGCCTGGCACCTACCTTGACATGGTAGTGGGCATCGAGCAGGATGTTTGCAGGCTTGAGGTCCAGGTGGAGCAGCGGGGGGGACATACAGTGCAGAAAGTTCATCCCCACCGCTGTCTCGTGGATGATTCGGAAGCGCAATTCCCAAGGCAGCGGATCAGAAGCCAGTAGCTTTTCCAGAGACCCTGTTTCCATGTACTCCATGACCAAGCCAACCGGCTCTTTGCAGATGCCATAAACAGGAAGGATATAGCGAAACTTTGCCATTTCCATCTTCCTGGCTTCCTCCAATAGCTCCATACGCTCCCTATGTAAAAGAGAACATACGATGAAGGATGGAGTAGCTGTTTCCTCCTTCCCAAACATGCAGCAAACATTTAATTTGCCATGAGACTGGAAAACAGATTTCATGGCCATCGCTTGGCTGAGCCATGCTCCATTTCCAGCCTAAGGCCCAGGAACACTTCTGCATTTACCCCCTCTGCTTTATGCTTCTAACGAGAGGCAGCTCACAGCTGCTGAACTACAGGTACGTTGGACACCTCGGCGGTGTCAGTACCCCTAGCATAAAGCCTGTCTCTCCACTTCGATGTTTCTGCTGTTAAGAACAAGCACGGTGCATGCGATGGCCAGATTTACCTCTGCCATAACTCCCTGGGCTAAAGTCATTAGCTTTTTGTGAGTCACAAGACTGCATTAATCAGAAGAGAAAATGGACACTGTTGCTTCAGCTGCCCTGCTGACATGGGCGACCTAGGCAGAGATCCAGGAGCTGGGACAAGAATCCTCCGGACTTGTTATTTCGGAGAGAAAGTTTTCTACGGTGATTAGATGGAGGTGGAAAAAGCCGCCCTTTTCTCAAAATCCAGATGTGATCATCTCAGTATTCTGTTCACAGAGCTCTAGGGAATGCTGAGGATGCCCAGCCTACACCTGCCGGTTATGTAACAGCCGCAGAGCTGGCACGGGCCGCGAGCGCTCGCGGCTTGTTTACAGGTCGCTCCGAGCGTGACCCTGCAAAGTGCCAGGCATTAGTCAGGCCCCGATGGGGCCTCCCAGGTCAAGACCCTTAATTGCAATGTCCTCTTTCCGCACTTCCAGCGCTGCCTTCCCGCCGCCCGGGAGCATCTGTCTTGAGGCAAGTTCAAAACATGAACCCATCACCTCTGGCTCTCCTTGTGCACCCTCCAAGAAGGGTCACACTAGACGGGTGAAGAACGGCTCAGATACGTTATTAATGATGACAGGCAGCACACGGGGCAGCCTTGGGTCATGGGTACCGAGAGTCACCTCCGCCCACCAACTAACAAAAA